ATCTAATTTAAAATGCGGAGAAAAAAACAGTCTGAAAAAGCAAAACTAATTCCTTACCGTTGGGATATTTCAGGCGGATCTCCTTTTACCAAATGAATAATTTGATAAACGCTCGAACTGCGATAATCTTTCGTCAAGACCAGGTTTACCAGGTATGTCTTATTGATAGACATGGAGGCAGTATTGAAGGTGACTTCTAGTCCAGAATCACTCCCAGAATACCGAATGGTTGATTGGTTCACTCCTGTGAAGGAGTCGCTTGCTGCTCTCTGTAGGCCAAAATAGTTCCCTTTGATTTCACCATAATGCCAGGTGAAGTTCATCCCGGAGTGATTACCTAGTCCAACAACCGGGTCATAGGAAAGTGATGCATTCATCGTGATGTTTTCGTTTTGTCCTCGGATTACTTCGGCACCGCCATAGATGATAGCCACGAGGTCCGGTTTTCTTTGACAGAACTTTCCATCTAAACACCGTCAAATAATAACTTTCAGTAAAAGTTCTCAAATTTGATGCATTACTGTGCGATTGCTTCAAATTGGTTACGAAATACATGAAGGGCACAAGACACCCTAATAACACATTCTTTTATCAAAAAGGAGGTTTCCGAAAATTTGGGTACACCTCGTGAGATTGACCTCTTTTCCTGAAATTCTGGAAAATGCAACATTCGTTAATGGAAATTTCCAGAATTTCAAACCATCTTCTTTTTGTAATTTTGTGAAAGCTGTGTAAATTAGTAACGTTTTGCTAATGACGGTGTCTGGTCACTTTGCTTCATGGTTAGATCGCTCCAACTTAGTTCGCTCCCACGCATATACAGATTATTCATCGTTCTTTTATCCACTGCCAAGCCAAAGTCGGTTAGCTGAGGTGGCGAACTCGACCTGTGTGCATGGAGCGATCTATCATTTGGTTAGATTAAACTGACTTGACAAACCTGAATATTTTGGTTTATTGCAAAAGTCAGAGTCACAGCACGTTACATCACAGCATTCGAGTTTCTTTGTCTTCATGTCCTCGTGACAGGACTCTACTGCTTCCTTGCAGGTATCACGATGACTGCAGTTCATCTTAAACTGTTCCAGGTTCTCGTCACGTGAGTATACTATAATGCATCGATCTTCAACTGATCCGCAAACCATTTGTTTACCGCTGTCGGTTGATATCTTGTCCTCGCTACAGTTTTCTTCTGATCCCAAACAGGCATAACATCTGAGAAGATTTGCTGCAAATGAAATCAAATAGTCGAAGTGTGAAGAAAAAAATTGCAATAATTTTCAATACCAAGGATTTTATTAAAATTTCCGGTTGTCAGATTGTTTTTATTGTTCAGTTTATTATTTATTTAATTATTTTTTTTAAACGCAGCACTTCGTAATTGAATGCTTGAGAAATGACTGAATCGAGAGGGAGTTAGAGAGGGGGCAACAATAGCGGCATGTGTTTTGAATCAGAGCCAAATCCCCCAGCTACACCCTCTACTGTGTGTCTCCCGATTGAATTATTAAACAATGAGGGGAACTGAGCTTCAAAATGAGAAATATTAAAGTCCCACCTGCCTCAAAAAGAAAGAGAAAACTTCTAATTAGAAAAAAAAATTATTCAGTTTCTTAATCCTTGAAACAGAGTTTCGCAACCAAACGTTTGGGTATTGAATGAAAACGAAATTATAATATATTTTTGTATGCACTCTTACGATTTTTCCAGTTTCAATATTACCTCACTCATTGATTGCCGCACATTTTTCTTGATGGTAAATGAATGAAGACAAAAAACTGTAGATGATGATTCTCTCAGTTAATTCGCATCATCTGTCTACCTGTTATGAATTGTCATCGTGGAATTTTTTTCCCAAAGGGTCAATTCTTACCTTGACTCACACTGCTTTCAAGAAACGATCGTGAGTCTGTAGCACTTGATGGATTTATGCTCGGTGTACGCACCAGACCTGTCGTTGAGATGTTCTGCGGCGCTGCTACTGACGCATTCAGAGGTGTAGTTGGAGAGTTTGAAAGGAAATGTGTTTGATTGACAGTGAAAGTAGGGTGCACCAACGTTTGATTGACAGTTGGAATGTTATAAATAGATGGATAAACTGACAATCTTGTAGCAGACTGGTTGGATAATGTACCAGTGGCAATCGGAAGTATACTTCTTTCACTGAATTCGACAACATTAGAAGGAACCTGTGATAATGGACTCGCAGAAGCCGTGAATGTTGCAGGTGTTGTTGACAAGCCTGAGAATGATTGTCAAACAGAATAAAAACGTAATTAATACCGCCTTTAATTTTTTTCTAATATATCCTATATATTATATCAGTAAACATTGTAAAAGACTGAAAGGTAAAAAAAAAGACTGAAAAAGACTGAAAAATAAAGCTTTTAGGTGGTTCCTTATTCCAGCATTGTTGATAGGAGCTTTTAATACTGATTAATAGAGCAAATCACATGACCAACTCAGGGTTGATTGTAATGTTTAAGTTAGACAAAAACATCCCTGATGAAACTAAAAGAAAAGATCATCTTTAACTTACTTGGTGTCGGTGGTTTGTTGGTGTCCTTAACGTCATTTACCTCATCTACAGAGAGCGATACGTTGAAGATCCAAACCTGAGCAAGCTTTCCTTTAAACAGGTACCCAAGCCATAAACCAGACTCCGTCTCCAACTCTAAACTGCCAGTGATCGTTATGTTCTCCACTTGGACTCCACCAACGAAAAGTCTTGCATCTCCAGTATAGTTGTCATAAGCTCCAGCAATATGGTACCACTGATTTAACGGCAGCTTATTTTTACTCTGTAAGGAATACTTGGTGCTTTGATCACGTAAATATATGTCAAACACTGGACGAGAGTTCTCAAGAGAAATGCCGACGCCATAGTGAGAGTCTTTCCAATAGGAAATAAGTTCTCCACGAGTTCTTTCAGGATATACCCAGACGAGCAAAGTAATGGAATATCTAGACGAAGGAGAAGTTTGATGACAACGAATTATTTTTGACCTAACAAGAACTTACTATACAGGCAAGTGTCAAATCTACTCAAAGTTATTTTAGCAGAACCATTTGCTATTTTGAAGGTTGTACCCAAACTTTTCGGTGAGTGGGCTGGAAGAACCCTCTAAAGCCTCTTCTCTGATTGGCTCCGAGAGGGTGCGGAAATTCACGATCTTGCCCCGACGCTACCGCTAGGATTCAGCTCGGGTTGATTGGACAAAGGTCGATGCTTAGAAGTTTAAAACTGTTCATCTAAAAGGTCACGTACCATATCGCTGGCAAGAGAATGGAGAAACTTGAATTGGAATTACATGTGAAAGACTTGTAATTCTTCAGAACACGTGTTCTCATTTGAATTTAATCGACAAAATTTGGTTTTAGCCGAGTTGTTGTTAAATTTGGACTGTTTTTTTTTAAAATCGCTTTCACGCTCGATCTTTAAAGTTGCGGTTTTAAATTCCAAATCACTGTGTAAGGCTATCATAATATCAGTCAATTTAAATTGTTTCACGGAGTTTTGTTTCTGTTTCTTTCTCTAAAACAATCAGTCTTCCCTTTGAAAAACACAGACCATAGCCCCTACACAACATGGAATTGGAACGAATCATTGCTAGATGCTTCGAAGATAGTAGAACAGATTGAAATTTCCTGCGTGCAGAAGTGTCTGAACTTATTTCATCGCCCATTGTCGCTTATATAATTAGCAATTGAGTGTATTTTTACCTTGTATCTAGGGCACCTGATGCATTGAGGTATAAGTAGCTTGGCGGGGAACGTGCTCCAGTGAAGGCATAAGCGCCGTTTCTTTCGCCATACACTCCTGGCGCGGGGTTTGCGTTGGAAATGACTCCTCTTCCAGGATTATTGAACCCACTGGTATCCTCTGCTCCAGTGGACGAGTTCAAAGGATAGCGCCCCACAGGATCTGGAAGCCCTACATTATAAACAAGGAGTTCAGAAAAGTAGCTTTTGGTCAACTTATTGATCGAGTCGGAATCTGGGCTCTTTTCATAGAGCTGAAGAAAGGAATAAAGGAAAAGTTAGAAAGTATGATTTTTAGGGCGTGTTCAATCGACCACATACCACTCCATCTGTACGTCAATGAAACAAATATTCTGTTGGAATACAATTTATCTTGTGTATTCCAATATCGGCAGGGCAACTCAAGGCAAATCAAAATGATTGGATAGGCATCTAGAAAATGAGGTTTTTGCTTTTTACTTTAGAAAAGTATGTTAGAAACGAAATTTATGGTCGTTGCAAATTTGAGAGCAGTGTCTGGATTTCTTTTTTCGAAGTGCAAGGGTACGTCTTAAGGCCAGCAAAAAATATCGATGTGCTTCCCCTCGACAACGCATATCATAACTTCTTGTCAGAACTGTTGAAATATTTTATCTATCCTGTTTAAGAAAACACTCCAAAAATTGTTTAGGCTACCACGCTGTGACACATCTTATTCAGGAAACATTTGCTTAATTAGAATCAAGTTGCAAATCATGATCTATCTTACAATTTTTCTATTCGTTTTCTTCTATCTTTGTTAATTATAGCTTTTGAGTGGCTCAATTTTCTGATCTAACCCGAGTTTGCGGTTCCCGCCAAACATGAATCATTTCATTAGAGTTGTCATTATTTTTTTTTTTACAAATTTAACAGCAGACAAACCACCACTCGTACATTCAGTAAACAATAGTCATACAATTGTTAAAAAGCTAAGGTAACTTTAAACTTGAATGACAGAATATAAACAGTAAAGCACTATCTCACGGTAATTAATAACTCTCAGCAATATACAATCATGGATATTGGTAGCATTTAGTAGGTTGAGGTTGTCTATACGAAGAAATATGATTATGATAACGAGAACTTATAACTCAGTGAGAATTAAAGAATAGAAAGATCGCACACACTAGCTTCAGAAATTACATCCAGAGGCTTGTCTTGGCAACAACGCGGTAAGGTCACGATATTGATATTAACTCACTTTATTACAAACCGCTGCAAAGGTAAAATTAGTTTTTTCTCGGTCAAGATTTTACAAATGAAATAAACAAAGTAAGTGTGCTGCCCCCCCCCCNAAAAAAAAAAAAAACAATAAAAATGTTACTAATAAAAAAATCCGTTAGGAAATGGATGACAAAACAACTCAAAAACTGAGATAACACTTTTACAGTTTTTTCCCCCTTACCTCGACAGGTGCTCAGGATTTCCCCAAAGAGCAAAATAACTTGCAGCATCTTTAAGAAAAATTAAACAAAATACAAATAAGCACATCAATAATGAGATAAAAGCTCGCATCCCTTAGTGTCGGTGTTATAAAATATTAAACCGCATGAAAACAAATAGTTTCGGACCGCAATTATTATTTCAAGGCTGTAAGCTGTGTATATTCATCGGCTCACCCGTTATTTGCCGAGTTAAGATACGATTGCCGAGAACTTTTCCACCATAATTTCATTATCTCACCGAATTGGAAAATGCGCGACTGAATTAGGCTAAGTGGTAAATCATTGTATGTTGAAGAAAGTGCGTGGAAATGCTATATGTTATTTTAGCAGGTGGGAATATCTGTTTGTGCAAGAAGTCGTAACACGTCAACATTGAAGTTGACGCTGTACCAGTAAAAGTAACAGAGGAGGCAACATAAAATCCGATATATTATGGCGTTTTGTCAAACTGAAACACAAACACAATTGCGAACTTCCCTCCGATATGGGGGAATATTTCTTTACAATATTTGCCTCATTAGCATAAGCCATTTACTTTCTGATCGAGCTACAAAAATGCCGGTCAGTTCTGAATATTGAAAGAGTATAGCACGATTAACAGTCCCAAGGAATTTGAGCCCGCGAAATATTAAATACTTTTAGTGCGAAGAGGATTAATTAAAAACTTACAACGTTATGAAGAATGTATGAGCTTATTAGCTCATTTGTAAATTTTTCCTCGAATATATTACACCCAAAAGCCACAAATCTCACCAACTACTAAGTTTCACAAGCTCTTTAAATGTGTGGAGTCATTTGGTATCCAGCATATATGATGCCATCTATGCGCAAAGTTTATGAGGAAAAATGTCAACATTGAACTCAGCAACGATCGCTGCCAGGCTATGAAAGACCAAAAAACAACAGATCGATATATTTCTGATGGGTGGTATCCTAGCAACCAAAACAACTCGCTAGCAAAACAAAAAAAAAAAATTGTATTGCTTTATAAAATTTTTTTACACGTAAGGTTTTCCACAAAACCGATAAATGAGTTTTTTTGCATTCCCAGTGACAGTGATGCTTTCCTTGCTTTAGATTGTTTCAGTTACCTTGTGCTAGGTAGACAGTTAAAAACGAATACTATTATACTTTAATAAAATCCTTAAAATTGCATTGTTTTTAGGGCATTAAATATTCATGCACACGTCCTGCCCAAAGCTTTCCACTGAAAAATTAAAGATTCTAAAGATTTTTGTGAGTAAATGTGTTCCAGCTGAATACTGAACAGAAAACGCCGAGCATGTAAATAGTTGAAATATCAAATTGACCCCCTCGTAGCTGAATATTCGAAGCAAATACTAGCAGGATATGTGGCTGACTGAATTCGTGTTTGTTTTTAATACACGTGAATCTCCAGAAAATCTTAAGGCTGTTATTTAAGTGGAATTGCAAGACAATGTTGCCGAATATAAACCTTGAATTAGCCTGCATTAACGTTATTTTGAAGTGCAGGTTTTTAAGTAAAAGTGATCCGACTTATTCTCGCGGTGACATTTAAGCTTATTATAATAAACTTTATGAAGAACCCACATACCGAATCGTTTTAAAGTAAATAGCTCTTCTACTTTAAAATAGTGATATATCCACCGTGTAAACTTCTTGAGTCTCACTTCGAATTCCTCCGTTTTGATCACACAAATATTTAACCCAGGCTGTCCAGCTAAGCCAAATCAGTGATGCACCTCTAAAGTGGTGCTCGAGTCAGCAGAAGTATCTGTCTTCAAAAACTGTCAACCCTAATTGCACTGATGTTTGTCACTTCACCACATAAATTATTTACTAACTTAACACATTAAACACCTTCCTTTGTGAATTAAAGAAAATAATAATAACAAACTACCTAAAATCTGCTTACACTTGTGAGATCTTGGTAGCAAAAAACGCAAGAAAAACCCCGTCAAAGTCCATTACCCGTAAAAGTGCCAAAATTTAAAAGTAAGAATTGAATTTCATACTGATAGCGTATATGGATATTTAACCAGCATCTTGCACTTTCTCCGATGAAGGTTGAATTTCAAAGTTTAAAAAGATAAATTAGATGAAAAAATTATAAAACTCCAAGGGAAATATTGTTTATATACACTGAAATAAAAAAGAGTCCCAAGATTAAAAAAGAGGTCGATACAGAGCTATGTACTATTAGGTTAAGATAGAAATTAAAAACAAGATTGCCATTAATTGTCATGAAGTTTTTATTTAACAACTTAATGAGCAACACATTGTAAAACTGCGCCATGTGCATTAACATCAAGCAACTTCACAGCGAAAACTTAAATTTGGTAGAACACGCACAACAAAGATTTCCAACCAAATGCTGCTCAATCGAGAATAATCATGTTCTTAAAAGATCGAACAATTACGGGACATGCATTTCCCCTAGTTATACAATTAAGGAAAGATATAACACACCATATATTGGTCCACCTGTTGTCAATTTCACAGCCCATTGAACAGGTCTTAAGAGCGATAAATACACACAAACGAAATTAATTTCATTTTGTCATTTTCCGTTTGCTATGAGAGATTCAGAAAGTTCTTCTGTAGCGGACGATAATGAAGCCGGTCTGGTGCTGTACTTGAAGCTGAGTAATGATTTGAAAATTTTGTAAAATAGACGTGAAAACTCATATTAATATTTTCCTTGCAATGTAAATATTCAGTGTTTAGTTAAGGATGTTGACTTAACAGCTAAAGAAGTGATAACAAAACTGGGCTAGAAAGGAGGTTGTACGCAGATACGTTTTTGTTATCTAAAAGTAAGCCAAGATAAGCCAAAAACATAACACTTTATTAAACTTAGAATTGTTCATTTCAAGAATACTTAAAAGATGAGTTTTTATTTTTAACAGAGAAACTGTATGTGTATTTACTTTGGGTATGTGGAAAGTTTTTGCTTCAACATCGCAAGCTACATATCGCAGGGGGATTTGCCTCAACAAAGAAGTAAAACAAGGCAAATTCGTTTTGTCAGAGGTAATTCATCAAACCTTATTAGAAATGTGTCGGTTCTATTAATTAGAAATAAGTAAATTATATATTCATCCTGATTGCAGTTAACCAGAAATATCAATGATGTATGGCAAAATTTAAATTAAATAATTTACATCTATTTTGTTATTTTGCTGTTTCGAATTCTTCTTCTTTTCTGTGTGTTTTTAAGTTGTTATTCAATTTTTTTTCTTAGAATATGTTAAGTAGACGGTTCGTAAACGGTAGTAATACATTTCGACATCTTATGGAAAAATTTGAGTGTAAATATTTTGAATTTTTAAATTCATCCTTAAAAGTTAATATAAATAGTGACTGAATACAAGCGCCTAATAACCGCTACAACCTTGTTGATTGGGGCACCTTTAAAATGATCGAAATACTAGAAGATTTAAATTCGAGAACCGATTTCTATTTTTGCTTTCCTTCCCAATGTAAGTTATTTATTGATTTTTTCACTTGGTAACATACCGTAAACTTCCTAAAGTAACGACTCTCGTTAGCAGCCTTTGGGGCTCGTTACTTTCGAGGTGTCGTTACTTTTGCGGGGTCGTTACTTTCGGGGAGCAAAAAACGTTATATAAAGTTGGTACGAGTGAGCTCTTTTACGAAGTAAAAAAACTCGAAATTCGTTAAAAAAAGTTCTTAAAACGTGGGATACAATTCTTCGTTGCTGTCATATGGGTGGGCTCATGTCTAGATCGTGTTGTCAGTGGTTGGCAGGACAGCTTGTCAGATACCGTAAACTGTTTTTTCTT